AGAGAGAGAGAGAGAGAGAAAATGTGCTGTGGTTGAGTGCGCGGGTGAGCTATGGCGAAAGAGGGTGAGGAATGGGGGGAGGGGGATGAGGCTATTGGGAGGCAGTATGTACGACAGAGTGGTTTGTATAGATCAGAGAGGGTGCATGACACGGGTGAACGAAGATAGCGATTCGTTTCGACACGATGCTTCACGAGGATTCTTTCGAATCATGGTAAAGAAGTGATTCTATATCTTTTCTTTAATTGCACGACGCTCGAGTTGTTTATTTCATGTCGCATTGATCTTCGCGAAATTTTCGTTTGGCAAACCCTGATGTGGTTGAGCGACGAGCGTACGTCGACGTGCACCAACAAAAGATATCGTTTGAAAAGCATTCGCTGAATTACTACATTCGACTCGAACGCTCTCTCTCCCTAATAGCATTGGAAAGAACGATTATTTTTTTTTTTTTTTTTCTTTTTCTTTCCCGTTCATATTTCGCCTTTAAAAGCACGTACAGATGCAAAAACGTTCGCCTGGCACAATGGTGTATAAGGATTTGATTCAGGTTTGACCTGTTGATTCTGCAGAAAACGCTTGTCGTTATGCGAGGCATGCACGTTTAGTAATTTACCTGATGCTATCAATCGGGATATACACGCTATAGTTATCGTGCAAGCATACGATGTTTCACGTTCGGAATGGGTTCAACTACAACGAGACACGCTTAGGGTGTGTTCTATCGAACGAGCAAAAATATACATTCTGATTAAATATTCCTAATTAATTAACATTATCTCTCTGGATCGTCCAATCGATTGAATATCGATCGTTACGATACGAAGTAACATTTCGTTGCAAATTAATTTGCATTACACTTGTGTGAATTCTATTGATCTCACTCGAATTTATTCATAGTATCATAATTTCAGACGGATATAAATTAAAAATATTTATGGATATTGCAACGATTTACGTTACCTCCTGGTGTAAAAATTTTTACAGAAAATTGCGAGAAGCGGGGAGTGGCGCATTACAACTCGTTCAATCATCCGATGCACGAAAGTTTTTGATCAAATAAAACCATTTATATTTGCGTAGCTGTTAACTGGAATAAAATTAAACTCGTGAAATATCCCTTCGTGCAAAGAAATTTTACGCAGTTGTACGCAATTTTATAGCACGATGCACTGCGCTTTATAAACAGTGTATTCTCTGAAACAAATGTAACATGAAACATTTCCTAAACAAACGAATGTGAGATACAGAATATTCTTTTGTTATTTTTAAATTTATGGTCTCGTTGCGCTCATCTTTGTGAGAGATATAAAAAAAATAAAAGGAAGAGTATATTTGAAACGAATATACTCAGAGATTTCAAGACCGCAAGAGAACTGGGAGTCATTTAAAAACCAAAGTGGAAGTTTTTCTATTGATTCATGAAGCATGTTCGAGGCAAACGTAACAATTAAATTTACTAAAAGGAAATCCATAGATACTTAAGACTATCTATTCAATTATACAACACACAATGCCGATACGTGAAAAATTTACTTTCGACAATGACCCAATTTTGTTTTCAAAGAAAATATAAAACAACTCCATACTGAACACGAAGGGACAGAAGCATCGTACATTATTATAATTAATTCGCCGAATATATCGATCTCGTCATTCTGTGGGTATTCTACGCGATTCCTTAATTACATTAATTGGCGTTGCCATGTTCGAGCTCGCGTTAATGTAACGAGAGGAGCAACACGTTTCTCCCTCATCGAGACAACGAACAACTTTTTAACTTTTTCTAGATTATCGAATCGTTTCGTATGCAAAGGCACAGCCTAAAAGATTAGACGATCAGTTTGCACGCGGGAGTGAAAATGCGAAAAATTCGTTCGGTTCCTCGTTTCGCTCATTTTCAAACGTCGACACGAATATCCGCGGCAGTGAACCGGATTGTTTATTGTCTGTGACAGAAATATTGCCGCGAAGGGAAATCAAAGGTCGAATTTCTGTGCGGATCGTACGTGTTGCCACGGGACTAAAAGCATAGACGATGAACGTTCATTAAAATAAATAAAAAAAAAATAAAAAAAAAAGAGAAAAAAAAATCGTGCATACAAGATAATTCATTGGTGGACGACATCTATATGGTGAGTCCTTATATGGTATATATATATATGTGTGTTGTCGTTTTTAGAGTTTAGTCGTTGTTAGCAGTTCGTTGATTGAGTCTCAATGTTGGATTTGTATTCGTTCGTTAACGAATGAACCTGTCTCAGTGTTCGTCGTTTTTATGTACATATATACGTACATGTGTCGCAAGTGAAATGTCTGTTCGATTAGAAATCTGCATGTTTCGATGTTCTATGTGTGTTGTAAATGTAAATGAAGTTCAATAGTACGCAATTAATTGCCAATAATTGCAAGTGATATTTGATCGTGGGGCCACATGATCCATCAAATGTTATAATCCACAATACGTTTCGTGTACATACACTTGATGCAGTATGTAATTCAATTATCAAAAAAGTTTCCAGACACATATTGGTATACTTATTCCAGTTTTCACATCGATCATGAATTTGATACTTTTATTGTCTTAATTGTCACATATAATATCATTGAAACGGCAATAGTCAATTTATATAATTACAAGATCTTGAATAAAAATTCGAATAAGTTTGAAGCCAAAATTTCTCTGAATAGTTCTTAATACTTGTAAATTAAGTATTACAAGCATAGAAAGTAGGGGGGGAATTTTAAGGATAGCTTCAGCATATCTAAACAAATTCCTATCTCATTTGACCTTATTTTCGAACTTATAGAGGATTTTGTATCGCAATATGTATTCCTTTCGTCGAATGTATGTATATTGTATCATTCAATTCGTTCCAACAGTTTGTAAACAGAGCTCGATATTCTCCTTCGTGTAACAATACCATTTCTTAGCATCTATGGGGATTTTTACTTATTGGGTTATTTGA